AAGGTTGCAAAAAACAGTACAAGCTAACTTGACCTTGTTAAGTTATTTCATTTATAACAGCTGATAAAGTTGATGGTACTGCTTTGTGGCCTGGACATACTACAATCACTTATATGACATCAATGTCTTGATTTCTGTTAATTCTCTAGTGTGGCCAGCTTGCTGAAATGAGTGATACTTCTGCCACTTATCCACATCTGCCTTAATATGGTGCTATAGTTTGTCACTCTAATTATTTTTTAAGTAATCAATTCTGTCTCAGTTGCCTTGCCTCCTGATTGGCCATTTTGTCAATAAAATATACTCTAAGTTATTAAAATACTTTGCCTGATGATATACAAAAATGACCAAATTTTTGCTGAGGTTTTGTTTGTTTTTGAGACAGGGTTTTGCTATGTACTACAGGTTAGCCTTGAATTTGCTGTGTAGCTGAGTCTGGCCTTAAACTCAGGATACCCCTGCCTCAGCCTCCTGAGTGCTGAGGTGACAGGTGCCTACCACCACATTTGGCCCCTGAGCTGTTTAAAAGGAGAAAGTAAAAGCTGTAGTATAATGGAAAGAGTACAGACTTTGAAGTTACTGATCCTGTCCAAAATAACGGTGAAAAAGAGGCAAAAACAGGATCTAAGTCAGTCTGATCTAAGTTTCTGTTCTGAACATATTATGCTGTTTTTTTCTTTAAAATTAGCAGAGTTCTTTGGTTGTATGGTAATTAGTCAAGTAGAAATGCTATCATATTTGTCAAGTGAATTTCAGGCACTGATGCTTCTAATATATGCTTTTAAACTTCTTTCTTTTTAGTTCAAAATGCCTTTTAAGCAGTATGCAAAAACATGGTGGAATTATTACTATTTTAATTAGGACATCAAATATCCACTAGTCCTAGACCAGGAATAACGCCTGCCTGGCAAGCACAAGGTCCTGAGTTCGATATCTGGCACAAAAAAACAAAAAACTAAAAACACTAGTCCAGCTTAAATTAGTACTGTTAAACAACGTCTATCTGTCTCATCCTTTCTTCACCATCAGCAAATCTGATCCAGTATTTTCCTTTAGTGACTCACATTTTTTTCTCATAAAAGAAATCACTGTACAATGAATTTCTAAAGTCTTTTCACATACACATTCTCCCATGGACTTCATTAAAACCTTACGACTAGCAGTGAACAGAAATGATTCTTCTGTTACACAAAACTCAAAAAAAAAAAAAAAAGATTAATGCAAGATGACAGAACTGGTAAGCAGTAGACAGAACAGAAAATCAGACACTGGTACAAGTCCAGTTGTCTTTAAAAAATGAGTTGAGTTGAAAACTACTTGATATAGACTGGTACAGACCTAAAGGTGTTTGTTGGAGACAAGGACTTGCTATGTTACCCAGGCTGGCCTTCGAACTTGTTGTGATCCTATTGCCTCAGCCTCAGGAGCAGCTGGAATTACAGGTATGTAACATCAAGCCCAGCCCTACTGTTATTTTATCACTGTCAGACTGTTCTAGAGCTACTCTGATCACGTTCTTATTTTTCTATTTTGTTCACACTAACATGAGATGCCTGTCATCCATCTTACTGAACATATCAGCTCTCTTCATTCCACTATAGTTTAATGCTACCTTTTACTGAATTTTAATAAATACCATTGGTATATTCAATTATATTGGGCCTTCACCTTTCAGGTATCTATTGTTAAAATTAACCAACTTATATTCAGCACGTCCAGATTTTCCTTTGCAGATCCCATAGTGTATGTGGAGTTGGAGAATCAAGAGTGTCCCTTACTTAAGTGAAATGGGGCTAGCAACCACTTTACAAGTTAATTACACTACTGAATAAACACTCACTGTAAGACACTTGAAGTAGATCAAACCCCTAAGGTAACGTAAACCCTTTTACTTCAAATCAAAGAGGAACTGTATTCAAAGTACGGCCAAATAGTAAAACAACATTTACTCAAATAATAAAGGTTGTTTTAGTGTAAATAATCTAAAAGTCACAATGTATCATCAAATCCCACAGCATGTATAGGCAGACATTAGTAAAAAACAACTACTTGTGAAAAAAACAGGCTTTAACATTTAATATCATTTTCATTTTTTCTCAACTTTATTATTTGAAAAAAAAGTGCAATTTTCTTATTGCTTCTCAACTTTTTTTTGCCTCTCAATTTTATTTCTCAACTTTATTATTTGAAAAAAAAGTGCAATTTTTAACAGTAAAGGGGTCTGTTTCCTCAGATTAATACACTTATCTTGCCTAAGTGCCACCAAATACTAAATGTCATACTACATTTTTGAACTATCCAATGGAGTTATGTTATGTGGTAAGCAGAGAGCTTCATGTTCCCAGATAATGTTTCATACTAGGAAAAATCTAAAATAAGTATTATCTTTCCTTTACCTTTTCTTCCTTTTCCTTAGTATAGAGTTTAATATAGCCAAATACTAGTTATTGCTTATTCAAAATTTCCTTTTTTGAGCACTTTCTTTCCCTTTCAAAATGTCTATTGTACGTTTTGGATCTTATTTACTCTTTCAGGTTCTTACACGAGGGAGACAATACAATGTTTACACATGCAAGTCTGATGTATTTCACTAACAAGTATGGTCTCTAGTTGCATCCATTTACCTATAAAAGCCTCAAGTTTATCTTTCTTTATAGCTGAGTAATATTCCATTGTATAAAAATACCACATCTTTTTTATCCTTTCCTCCGTTGATGGGCCTTTGGGTTGTTTCCAAGATTCACCTATCACTTTTGAGGGTCAAACAAATTTTACTTTCTCTACAACAGCCATTTCATTTCTACAATCAAAAATTATTTTCCTATAAGAATGTACACATTATCACAGAAGATTACTGTGTAATTTTTTTCATGTGTTACACTTGCCTTTCCATCAAGAATATATACTCAAGGATATGTATTAAGCTTCTGACCTCTCCCTATAAACCTAAACTGATCACAATGCTACAATTATGTCAATATAAAACTATTAACTATGAAAGATATTCAAGTTATGGTAGTAGGCAAAAAAAATTGACTAAATTTCCACATAAATTAATAATAATTTTGAAACAACTGGAAAGATATTGGGAAGGAAAAAAATGAGTTATGCAATAGTTATATTTAACAATGTCAATGATCCAGACAACAGTGGAAAATCAGATAGTAATGGAAGATCTCATTGAGCTAAAAATAGTGAACTTAATAAATTTGAGAAATACTCTATTGATATTTTCTCTCAGCAGGCAGAAAAAGCACTAAACCCAATCTCAAGTGAACAGTGAGGAACTACTTGGCAAAGCTGAAGAGATGGGAACTCTGAAAGGGAGCAATCTTTGTATTGATGATACTATAGAAAGGAACACTGAATACAGTGAAATATGAGGTACCCTCACAGAGTTCTGACAAGCTCTTGTGGTGGCAACGTCTGTAATCTCAGGACTCTGGAAGACTGAGGCAGGAGAATAGCAAGTTGGAGCCCAGTTTGGACAATGTAGTGACACTGTTTCAAAATAAAAAATAAAAACAAAAGGGTTGGGGATGTAGCTCAGTGCAAAGGTTAGGGTTCAATCCTCTGCATGGCAAAAAATAGTCCTGAGAAAAGATAAGTAAGATGGAGAGGGGATTTAAAAGTGGAAGATGATTAAAGAAAGTTCCAAGCTCTCAAGTGAAATTATTATATTCAGTCACAACTGTCATCATATCAAATACAAAAGAGCTAACGGTTATGATAAAGGCTTGAAAGTGGTACAGTGAAAAACCAAGCAACTAAGTAAGTCTGGGGAGTGCATGGAATTTGTCAGGTAAGAATCATTAGGTATTTGGAAATCTTTTTAAAAACAACTGTGTAACAATTTTGTTACACCACTCTTTGTCGAATTCGTCTCAAAGGTCAGCAATAAAATCTCTTCCTGAAAGGGATTATCCTATATATTAATTAAGGAAGTTACACCTACCGAAAAAATTCCGTATTTTAAGAGAGAAATGTGGTTAGGATTTACCTTGATAGAAAATGCACTCTTTGTACTTCTGTAACATCTATATTTAACAATTTAAGTCACTGGTATCATTCAAAAGTATAGAGATTTAAAAAAAATCAACTAGGCTACAGTTTAAAAACTGTGCATTAACATTTGTTAGTAAATTCCAGTTGGTCTTATATCAGAGACTAAAATATTTCAGCATCAGTGAGAAAAATCTAAGATGCCTCCTAAAAGGAAGATACTAGAAGTCCTACAGATCATCCTCAATAGTTTTCAAAGTATAAAAAATGCTTATAAATAAATGCTGAAAGAGGCAAATGACTGCTTTATGCTGCTAAAAATGATTACAGCAAGGCTTAAAAAAAACAACTAAGTTTCTACCTTATGCAAAGAATAAAACCCTGCATGCTGGTAGGATCATGAGATTGATTACAGGCAGAAGCTGCCTGTACTGAACTTCAGCTTCGCTGTAATTTTGGACACTACTGACAGTAAGGCACTAAAATTAAATAATATTGATTTTATTTAAACAGAACAACTTTTGTGCAGCACAAACGCCACTCAACAGGTCTTACATGCATCTGACTTTTATTGAGAATAACAGGATTTGCTATTTTCTCTTTCTTGACTTTGATTCAAAAAATTACTGCGGGCAATTTGAGAAAGATTTCCTGGTAGTGAGATTCAGATTAGAGAAAAAGGGAAAAGGGTTGCAGCAATAAGTTAGTTTACAAGGGAGCCTTCCAGAGTGTCGTAACAGCCAGTAAACTGTAAACTCTTGATATTTTATAGACACTGCCCCAACACCAACAGAGGATCCAGGAGCAAGTGCAACACCAGCCAAGGACTGCAAGCGGGCAAACAGTCCCTGCGGGACCCTTTTGCTTCCACCACAGAAAGCCCCCCATCTCCAATTCTCTCCCTTCCCCAAAGCGCTCTGATATTCACTACCCGCCCAGAAACACCCTCTCACAGTGCCAACAACCCCGCAGGAGCGAGATAGGCTGCGTCCACTTACTGAGCTGGCCCCCGCCCGACGTTGTACTCGGTTCCCGACCTCCAGCGCCTCCACCGCCGGCTGCTCCGGGGACCCCAGGCGCCCCCATCCCCGGCGGGGTCCCACTCTGTCTCTCGAAGTTGCCGGGATTGGAGAAGTAGTCGCGCAGGCGAGGCAGCTCGCGGCCGCTCTCTAACAGCTCTGTATGCAGCTCCAGAGCAGTCAGCAAATACTGATCCCGCAACAGCTGAGCCGCGATTGCATCAATTGACAAGCGGGCTGGAGTCTCCCCTGTACCCCCCAGGGCCACTGTAGTCGCAGACGCCTCCCCAGAGAGCCCTGGCCGCGCACAGCCCCCCAAGGCCACGGGATCCTGTGGCGATAAAGAGCCCGCAGAGCCAGGATCCAGACCACCGCCGGCACCCAGCCGAAGTCCTGCCCGCCGCTCCTCGGTCGCTGCTACCTCGTCCTCGTCCTCATCCGAATCACTGAGGAATGGATTCACGCCGCCGCCACCACTGCCACCACCTCCAGGCGCCATCGCCGCCATCTTATTCTGTCAGAAGTGTGGGCGCCTCCTTGACTGTATACAACAGGCCGCAGCCTGAATCCCCCTGAGCCGCAGCAGGCTCTGAGCACCTGCACAACTCCGGCCAGACCACTTCCTGCCTCCGGTCTTAGAAGTCAGAGGTAGGCTCGGAAACTCGAGAGTCCGGGGCGGCACCAGCCACCCGCTCAGCCACCGCTGCACTCGCAGCCGGGTCTGCAGGCGTCTTCCTGGTCTCCACTCTCGCGATAACTGTGCGTGCCCCGCCCTCGCCCCGCCCTAGACCGCCTCAGCCCCGCCCATTCCCAGTGAGCGTGCCCAACTAAGTGAAGGACCCGCTTCTGGGCTCAAATGCAAAACCCAGCCCACAACCCTTTCAGGATTGGCTGGAGTTACGGGGGACTGGCCCGAGAGTTATCGCGAGAGCAGCCGCGGCCCGGGAGGTGTTGGGGCGTTCTGCGGCTGAGGGGCGGAGGTGCAGGTGCAGTAGGGATACCCTCTGGGATAGCGTTTGAGGGGACAGAGGTTCAGTTTGCCCGAGAGCTTTAAAGGCGCTGGGTCCTGCCTTCGTCCTGAGGAGGTCTCGATCCCGAGATCAGGTCTGACCCGGCCCTCAGGTAAAGTCTAGAGGCCAGTGCGCTGGGGTGCTGCGACCCCGAAACGGTGGTCTCACGCCTGCGGACGTGCTGCTTCCGTAATACGCCTCGCTTCTTGTCGTCCTTAGCAGTTAGCCGGTGACACTGTCTCCGCACCGATAGTGATTGCCCAGAGAAGTAGTCAGACTTTGGCTCCGTCTTTACCCAGCCACGCGCTTGCTCACTGTGGAGGCCTAGTGACAGCACCGACTCGGGGGAGCGGCGCCTTCCCTCCCGGACTTGGTCCCGCGAAGCTGGGGGGTGCGGGGTGGAGAGGCTGAACGGAAAACGGGGTGCTGGGACTTGGGTTTGCCGGGATCGGAGGACAGCTCGACTCGGACAGCAAGCTATTAGGTGCTCAATAAACACAGGATTTTGTACAAATTTATGTAAGAGGGACTCTTCAAAATACAAATCTTCTTTCACCAGTAGAAAAATGAGTAAACTTAACTCTAAAGAGCTTAATGACCGGGCCACTAACAAATATTCGAACTCCAGTAGTGGAGCCTGTTCACTGTTCAAAGGAACTAGCATAGTTTGTCTCAGATCCAAAGGCATTCTTTTCCCACAGTGCCTTGAAGCCTTTCTAACTCTTTCATTTGTCCAGAATCAAGTGGTTTTTTTTTTTTTTTTTTTTTTGAGACAGGTCGCTGTGTAGGTCAGGCTGACCCTGAGTTCACTATGTAGCCCAGGCTGGCCTTGAACTGGTAGTGATCTTCCTGCCACAGCAGGATTGGAAGGTCATTTATCTTTTATCTCAGCTTTCAGACTAGGCGGTAAAAGAAAAATTTCCAGTCACCAGTTTTAGACTATTACTGATAGCTTCCATTTTCTTCACACAAAGCTTGCCACTTTTGCAGGTTTTAGATTTCCTTTCATACTGTACAGCTTCCAGTAGGCACCAAAATAAATAGCAGTATAAGTATGACCAAAGTATCCTCTTTGGATCTATGGGAAAATAATAATAGAGCACTCCTATATAACCTTAGTTCAGGTTATTGATTTACATGTAAAAGTATGCCAACAGTTAAGTGTAAACTTTAATTTCGGTCTACCCAGGCTCAGTAGACAAAATTTACAATCGTGTAAGGATTTGGGGATGTTTTGTTTGGTTTTTGCCAGCAAGGCTTTTTTTCCCCAAATAGTGTTAGTACTAAAAACTTTATTTTTTTAGTAAAACTCCTGATGTTCTAATGCTAAATATTTTTCTTTGCCAGATATTGAAGAAAAATGAGAGAAAAAAAGCTGTTATATTAGGAAAATATATTAGTATCAAAATGGTCAATACTGTATTCTGTTACAGATTTCTTAGCAAAAGACATTGCTGGTCTTTATTTTAATTGAGTTTGCCAGAGAGAATAAAAGTTGAAACAGTTTCTGGAATACAGAAAGAAAAGATTATTGAATGGCATAGAAAGGACCTGATTAAAAATGGATTTTCATTTGTGTAAGGGGAATTTTAAAAATTTCCTACATTTAGGGTTCCTGAAGAAAATTGTGCTGATCAGAATGGAGAGGCTAAGTTCAAACCCCAATTGTATGCATTATCTATTGAGAAACCTTGAAAAAATTAAAACCTAGCTTCCTGCAGCTTCACTTGCTTTCACCTGTTAAAATTGTGAATATTGTCAGACCTGGTAGCTCATACCTGTAACCCCCAAAATCAGGAGGCCGAGGTAGGAGGATCTCTGAGAGTTTAGGTTCAGCTAGGGCTACTAAAAGAGGGAATAGCTTTAATTTAGAGTCTGAGTTCTAAAGCAAGTTGAAATAGAGTTAATGTATTTCCTCAGAGTTACAAGGCATTCGATGTAGAAGTTCTTTCATGACTGAGTTTCTGTACAAACCTGTAGTGTCCTGCTAATTCCTGTATGATAGCCATGGACTTGTTTATGTGACATTGCAAACCCATAACAAAACTGGCCAATCTTCACAGTAGTACTTTTCCCCCTACCATATGTAGGGTTTTAGTTATCAATTAAAAATGTATAAGTAGCACACACTAGAATATTAATAATTTCTGATCTGTACTTATCATAATTTATTATTAATAGTGTTGGAAAACTTCCTGCTTGGAAAGATTTGCATTCATCCAGGCCTTTACAGGTAATGTTTCCTCTGAATAAAGATAGTCATTGAATTTCATACCTTATTTATACTAATATTTCATTAGTAGCATCATTTATGGGATACCAGCTTTTTTACAAGTACTTCAGTTGCATTAGTATTACAATTATTTTTTGCCTTTAGTAGCCTTAAAGTAATCAAAAATAATATTCTAAATGAAAGTTTTTGGTTGATTTAAAGTTTTAATAATTTCTGTTATTTTATTATTTTCTCAGTGTGATAAACATTCAACAGATATAAGATAGATACAACTTTTATTGGTATATGGATATGTCTTTCTAAAATTTTAATGATTATGCATTTATTTTGGAGATTTCCAAGCAATTCGTCCATGGCAAATAAAGTTTTCTTTTTCAATATATCTGAATAAATTAATTCTCTTTAAAGGGAAATATTGTGTAATAATAGTTATTAGTATATATGTTCTTGGCAATAAAAAAATAGCATATGAATGTTGATATTTTACTATCATTAAAACCTAAGATGTGGGCTATTTTTACAGCTCTTGTTCAGGGCCCAAAAAGAGAAGCAAGGCAGCCTCTAGTGGCTATAGTGCATATTGCACTTATTTTTGAAATAGTACTGGACAGTAATCCTAAATAATTTAGTCAGCAAACATGTGAGTCCGTACTAAGTGCATAGGACTCTGATGGATACTAGTGATGCCCTTTCCTTCTGTCCTGGAATTACAGTGAGGTGGCAGAGACAGACATTAATTCAAGTAGTCAAAGACATAGCTATGTAATTACAAACTAAAGTTTTTGGCTTCTAACTTAGCTTGCACAGTCTGTGAAGAAATGAGGCTTGAAAGGAGATACTAGGAAAACATGGAAGTGAGAGAAGATGGAGGATAGGTTGGAAGTGCATTTTATGGAGAGAAATTCTGTCTGTAAAGATATTAGAGCAACAGGGAGGATGGGTTACTTGAAGAAATAAAAGAAGGCCAGTGAGGTGAGATAACCATACAGCAAGGGAGGGTGCTATGAGTCAAGATTAGTAAAGGAGACATAGACCTTACAGGACCGTGTTAGTGTATTTTAAAATTGGGTACTTTGCTACCTGTAATATTCATCCTTTTGCTTGGGGTTATTTTGATTTTTCTGGGTCTTTTGTGTTTCCATTATTAGTTTTAGGGTTTTTTTTCCTACTTCTGTGAAGAATGTCATTGGTGTTTTTATAGGGATTGGAGATTGCTTTTGGTAAAATGGCCTTTTTTAAAAAAACAATATTAATTCTACAGATCCATGATCATAAGAGGTCTTTCCATTTTCTCATGTCATAATTAATTTCATTAGTGTCCTGTAATTTTTTCACTGTAGAGGTCTTTCACGTCCTTGGTTAGGTTGATTCCTAGATATTTTATTGAATTCTTTTTGAGGGTATTGTGAATAGAATTATTATCTTGATTTCTTTGTTTGCTAGTTCATTATTGGTGTACAGAAAAGGCATTGATTTTTGTTTGTTGATTTTGTATCCTGCCATTTTGCTGAATTTGTTTATCAGATCTAAAATCTTTTGAGGGAGCCTTTATGGTTTTTTTGTGTATAGGGTCATATCATCTGCAAATAAGGATAATTTGACTTTTTTCCTTTCCTATTTGTGTCCCTTTTATTTCTTCCATGACTAAAATTTCAAATATTGTATTGAGTAGGAGTGTGGAGAGTGAACCTCTTTGTCTTGTTCCTGATTCCAGAGAGAATATTTTCAGTTTTTCCCCACTGGGTATGATACTGGCTATGGATTTCTCAGACATAGCTTTTGTGATCTTGAACCATGATCCTTCTATACATAGTTTCTTCAGGGATTTTATCATGAAGGGATGTTGAATTTTTCAGACTTTTTCTACATCAGTTGAGGTGATCATGTGATTTTTTAATTCTTATTTTTTTTTATTTATTTATTTATTTATTTATTTATTTATTTATATCAGGAATCAAACTCAGGGCCTTGTGCTTGCCAGGCAGGCGCCGGGACACCAAGCTACATCCCTGGCTTAATCTATTTATTTATGTGGCATATTATGTTCATTGGTTTGTGTATGTTGAACAGTCCTTGTATCCTGGGAATGAAACTAAGTTGATCATGGTATATCATCATAATGTTATTGAATTCTTTTTAGAAGTCTTTTATTAAAAAGATTTTTCTGCCTATATTCATCAAGGATGTTGATCTCTAACGTATGTGTGTGTATCCTTATCAGATTTTGGTATCATGGTGATATTGGCTTCATAGAATGAATTTGAAAGCATTTCTTACCTTTCAGTTTCATGCAGTAGTTTGAGGAGCATTGGTATTAGATCTTATTTAAAGGCCTGGTAAAAATTCTGTAGCCAGTCTATTTGGTCCTGGGCTTTTCATTGTTGGGAGACTTTTTTATTACTGTTTCAATTTTATTACTGTTTCAATTTTATTACTGTTTCAATTTGCTTGTTATTGACCTATTTAGGTTTATATACCCTTGGTTCAATTTTTTTAGGTCCAGTATGTCTAGAAATTTATCTATTTCTTCTGGGTTCTGCAATTTATTGGCATATAGGTTTTCAAAATAGACCCAGTGTTTCCCTGGATTTCAGTGATGCCTGTTGTAATTCCCTTATCCCCTTTTTGTAATCCCCCTGATTTGGATCTTGTCTTTCTTCTGATTTGTTTGGCTAAGGGTTTGTCAATCTTGTTTATCTTATCAAAGAACCACTATGGGGGTTTTTGTGTTGGTTGTTATTTTGTTTTCTTTTTTCTTTAAAATAAAAAAAATTGAAAGCACCAACTCTGTTTCATTATTTTTTTTGATTTATTCCTTTAGTATCTATTAATAATCTCTATTATTTTTCTATTAGTTGGCTTTAGTTTGTTCTTCTTTT